GAAAGTGTGTTGGGGAAAACACTTTCCCTTCCTTTTTATACTTCATTTTCCTATGCCCAAGTCCCCAAGCAATTCCATGGTAGAGACTGTAGCAAGTTTAGGTACTTGGGACTAACAAGAGCCAAAACTGAAGGAAAAAACCCTTCCTCTCTTTTCAATGGAGCTGTGATTTCAAGAGGGTGAACCTAACCTCTGTTGCTTTTATTATTTTATTTTATAATCAATATTTTGGAATTCTATTGAAACTAGATTGGTATTAATTCAAACTTGATAGTTACAAAGATGCTAATTGTAATCCTCAATTAACTGCTATGGACTGAATTGTATCACTCGCCTCCTCCCAGATTTCATATGTTGAAATCTTAACCCTCAATGTGATGGTATTCGGAAATGGGGCCTTTGAGAGGTAATTAGGTTTAGATGAGGGTTGGGTCCTCATGACTGTGAGAGAAGAGGTAGTCAGATGCTGGCTAGGCAGAGAGGCAGGGAGGGGCTCAAGGAGAAGTAACACCTGTGGGAATGCCCTTCCACAACCCCTATTATATAACTAGCAATTGAAAATGTGGTTAATGTGGTTAAGGACATCCTCTTAAGTCAATATGTTTGTTCAAAGGGACTTTTTGCCATTTGAATGCAGGCTCAATAGCTCAATTAAATGTCCTAACTTAACCCAAGCTTGTTATATCATTAGCATGGCATTAGCATTGAAGTTTCACCCCTCAGAGTGGGCTTTTCTGTGGTACTTATGGGTAATAATCATGATGGAGTAACTCTGGGCAAGGGCACATACACACAGTAAAGGCTGGGACTGGGAAACTGCTAGGAGAGTGTGAGATGGTAAGATGCAAATGAGAATGCCCCTAAAAGGGAGAGAGAAAAACCCAGAACATTCCCCCTACTGCAGGCAACCCATTTCGGGTTCCCTCTCTTTTTTGGGAGAGTTTTGTTGCTTAATTAACTCCTTCTTTCACTCACCCTTTTGATGTGTGTTCCTTAATCTTCTTGGTTGTGGGGCAAGAACCCAAGGTTGCTGGTCTAAGCCAACAGCAGAGTTCAAAACTCCTGCAACAATTGGGCTTGGTGTCCTTATAAAAAGAGACCAAATCTCTCTTTCTCCCTCTCTCCCTCTCTCCTTTTCTCCCTCTCTCCCTCTCTCCCTCTCTTTCTCCCTTCTCCCACCCCACCATTTGAGAACACAACCAGAAGATAACTGTCTACAAGCCAAGAAGAGAGTCCTTACCAGAAAATGATTTTGCTGAAAGCTTAATCTTGAACTTTCTATCCTCCAGAATTGTGAGATATAAAGGCTGTTGTTTAAGCCAACCAGTCTGTGATATTTTGTTATAGCATCCCAAGTTGACTAAGATATCCAAGAAAAAATTTTAAATATACCAAAAAAATCCAGGAGAATTTTTAAAGACACAGACAAGCAGATTCTAAAACATAGATAGAAAATAAAGTAACACACAGGTGAGAATGGAGGGTATACCTAAAGCTCAGACTTCTTCACCACTATACAATGCATCCCTGTAACCAAAAATCATTTATAACCCCTAAAACTATTGAAATTTAAAAAAAAGAAAGTAAAGGAACAAATATAGCTCAAATACTTTTGGAAAAGAAAGAAAAAGCTTGAGAAATTACTCTGTATGCTTTTAAGGCTACCATAATCAAGATCATGCGATATTAGTGAAGGGAGAGACAAATAGATCAATGAGAAAAAATAGAAAATCCAAAAATAGACCCATCCAGATATGATCTTGATATTTTACAAAGGTGCAAAAGAAATTCAGTGGAGAAAGCACAGATTTTTCAACAGATATAATTGGAAAAATAGGGCATCGTTATGCAACACAAAGCAAAACACCTAAATCTGCTACATTACGAAAAATTTACTCAAAGTAAATTGTAGTTCTAAATGGAAAACATAAAACTATAAAACTTTTAGAAAAAATAAAAACATGGAATGAAATTTTTGTGACCTGGGGTTAAACAAAAAGTTTTTGACATGACACTCAAAGCATAATACAAAAAAAAAAAATGATAAACTGAAATTATCAATGTTAAAATATGTTTCTCTATGAAAGACACAATTAAGAAATGAAAAGGCAAGCTACAGATTTAAAAACATATTTGCAAACCACATATCCAATAAAGATCATGTATCAAGAATACATCAAGAAATCTGAAGACAACACTAAGAAGAGAAATAATTCCATTTTCAAAATGAACAAAAGATTGGAACAGGCACTTCACCAAGAAAATATACAGATCCGTACAAGAAAAGGTGTTTACCATCATTAGCCACATGGGAAATGCAGATTAAAAGAACAATGAGATACCACAACAAATTCATCAGAACAGCTGAAATTTTAAAAAAATGGACAATACTAAGCATTGTCAGGATGCAAAACTACAGCTCACATGCATTGCTAGTGCGGATGCAAAATGGTGTGATTCTGAATACCAGTCTGGCAGTTTCTTACAAAGTGAAATATGTACTTACCACAAAATCTAATAATCTCACTTCTGGTTATTTATTCTAAGGAAATGAAAGCTTAATGTTTATACAAAACCCTATACTTACATGTTTACAGTAGCTCTATTCATAGACCTGGAAACAAGCCAAATAGAATAGACAAACTATAGTTCATACATGTAATAAACTACTACTAAGCGCTGAAAAAAATAAACTGTTGAAGCAAGCAACAGTCTCGATGAACCTCAAAGGTATTATGCTGGGGAAAGAAGCCAATCTCAAAAGATTGTATTTTGCATGATTCGGTTTACATAATAATTTCAAAAAATAAAACTATAATGGTGGAAAACAGTTATTTCTAAGGGTTAAGAGTGGAGGGAGGGTGTGACTACAAAGAGATAGTATCATTATCTGAGTTATAGAACTTTCCAGCATCCCAATTGTGATGGTGGTTACACAAATCTATACATGTTAAAATTCATAGAGCTAAAAAAATCAATAATAAAAAAAGTAAAGAAACATGTACTAACCAACATTTTAGCACACATACGTACACAATAAGCATTTGTTGGGTTGAGTTACAAATTATGTTGAAGAGCACTACTGCCCATGCTCCCTGCTCCCCAGCCTCATTTAAATTACTGCTTCTGCTGGCTATTCCTGTGCAAGTAAGCAAGAATAACTGTCCTGGAAAGAGGGCAAGTCAGTTAGAGTTAGACTTCCAGACACTTTAGCCAGCATGGACTCAGTGACATTTGAAGTGTAGGGTCTGTTAAAAGAAAACCCTTAAATAAATTAAATGTAACAGAGTTTAATTGAGCAAAAACCAATTTACAAATTGGGCAACCACCCAAACAAGAGCAGGCTCAGAGAAACTCCAGTGCACCTGGTGGAAGACTTGTGGTCAGAGGGAGGTTTGAACAGTTGGCCGCATTTGATTGACTGACACTCAGGGATTGACACAAGAGTCATTTACAATCTGTTGACAGATCCAGTTAGGTGACAGTACCCTATGTACAGAGAAATCTTTAGGCCACATTTAAAATAGGTAAGTGGGCAGCTTTACACTAAATTTAATTTAAAGGAAACTTCCCCTTCGCCCTCTGCAGCTTTGCTGAAAATTCAGTTTACAAAAGGCAGACTAATTGGATAAAAGGCTTACAAATTCATTACCCAATGGGGTCTAAAGGTTATATACCATTCTGGTAAAACAGGTTATGACAGGAGGAAGAAAAGGAATTCTATTGAGGGGATTGCTAGGGAGAATGAGTGGATCAGAGAACAGAGATTAACTGTACATTATCTTGTGAAAGAGTCTGTTCAGGTGTGGTTACATTCTCAGTTTTACAAGGAGGGAAGGAAAAAACAGCTGTTCTTTTGGTGGGTCTGGGTGTAAGGCAAATGAACGAACTTCACTTTGGGAGAGATGGTTGGGGGCGGACAAAGAGACCTTGAGGCTTCTTAAGTTCAGTATGTCAAAGTGCCATATTTTGGGGTACTGGTTTCTGAGTTTCAACACATTCTTGGTCTTCTTTTCTGTAATGATGTATGAGATAACAGAGAAGGAGAAAAGAACAATTGTTTTCCTTGGTGGGTCCCTCCTATCTTTATGCAGATAGGGGAAAAGTCTCCTCCAGTGCCAGTTGATCTCTAAAGGTCTTTAATTCAAAGTACTCATTACACCAGGGAGTCATGTCTTGAGGTGAAATTCCCTGAGCTCTTTCGACCCCAAATACAACTTTAGAAATGGCTTCTAACTGTCTGAAGGCAATTAGTCTTTTATTTTCTTTGACCTCTGTGACAATTTGGATGATTAATTTAGTGATGACGATGAACCACAAAGGGCAATTGAGGCCAAAAGAGCTCAATTTCTAGATTACTGTTGAGCTACAGAGAAGGTTAAATATTTTGTTGTTGTTGTTGTTGGAGCTTGGAACCATGCCACGCCAAAGAACCAAAGAACAGTCGGTAACCACCTTTCAGTTAGAAGGGAATTGAGAGGAGGAGGGTCTACTGAGAGAGAGAGAAGGTGGAGAGATGAATGAGGGAGGGAGAAACTGGTCCTGGTCAGATTATGTGTTCTAGTCCTGTTAACTGGTGATAAACTTAACTCATAATAAAGATCCCAGGCCCCTTCTCAGTCCTGCTGCATCCAAATCTTCAGGAAAGTCCTGGAAAATTCTTGTAGTCTCATCTGAATCCCAGCCATTAATGCTGGAATTTTCAGGAATATGAATCAATAAATATCCTCTATAGTTTAAGATAATTCAAGATAGATCTGTTATTTGCAACAAAAGCATCCTAATTGATAGAGTCCAGATACATTTATTTCTTTTTGTCTTTTCAATCTCTGCGTTGCAGAGAAGTAAGCATAAGTGCTCTGTGTTACGTTAGTTACATGCCTCTGATAAAGTTCAAAGGACAATCATGCTTAGGATTTCAAGGGCAACCTTGAAAAAAAAACATGTTGAGAAATAGACCTGTTCTCTCTTCCCTCCCTCTGCTCCTCCCTCTTTCCTTTTTTTCTTTGATTAAATAAGCACTAGGGCACCTTTTTTAAAAAAACTCCCTGTGGTATTCAGAATCAACCCTGAAAGCTGAAACCTCAGACTGTCTCTCCAAGATGTATCTCAGTGCTGCCAACCACCGCATACCACTAAGTGATGGAAACAGCATTCCCATCATTGGACTTGGTACCTACTCACAGCCTAAATCGGTAAGCTTTCTTCTCCCCGCAAGCATAATCTGAAATTCATTTTAATTGGATATCATTGATTTACTTTTGTAATAATAAAAACAATCTCATTTTGTAATAACGAAAGGACCACTGTTTGCCTGAATGAGTATTGAGTCAAAGGTTAAGCTAAACCAATACATGATTAAAAATTAGTTTGGATTAGAGAATGAGACCTTTCTGCTTCCTTTACTGAAATTCAGCTGAATGCTGATTACTAAAGTGAACTGAGGCACATGAAATTTGTATGTTTATGGCTTGTGTTGTTTTTTGTTTTTTTTTAAGAGACAGAGCCTTGCTCTGTCACCCAGACTGGAGCATGCTGGTGGGATTATAGCTCAATGTGGCCTCAAATTCCTGGCCTCAAGGCATCCTCCCACCTCAGCCTCCAAAAGTGCTGGGCTTATAGAAACACACTGCTACACCCAGTCAACTGATTTTTTAAAAAAGAATTTGATAATTTTTAGTAAGTCTAACAAACACTAAGTACTAGGCTATAGAAGCTTCAAATGTGAATAGTAGCTCTGTTATCTAGTAATTACAATTCCAAAAGAGTGGGGAAAAAAACAGAAAAAGAAAAAAGTTAACCTTAGTCCCTGCTTAATAAAATCAATCAATCAATCAAATAGAGGAGGCAGATTCTTTAACAATTAATTGTAGAACAATGAAGATAAAGATCAATGCTATACTAGAACTTTAGGGCTGCCTCAGTGGCTCATGCCTATAATTGAGCATTTTATGAGACCAAGGCAGAAGGATCACTTGAGCCCAAGAGTGTGAGACCAGCCTGGGCAATACAGTAAGACCCCCATCTCTCTATAATTTTTTTTTAAAAAGTTTTAAAGAGCTGTAAACAATATCTCTCTGAAAACATAGGAAAGAGAATAATTAAATTTGACTATAAAGATTGAAATACAGCAAAATTTTGGCTTATGGGAAGAATATCTTTCCTTGCTGCAGTTCAACATATAATACTGATTATCAGAATAAGCAGTGGCATGTGTAGAAATGCTTCTGAAAGTTGAGAGATCATGTATGAATGACCTCAGTATGAATTTGCAGTCAGGGAAACACAGCGAAGGCAGGACATTGTGAGTAGAAGGGAAAGGATATATGAAATGTCCAGGGAAGACCAAACCCATAGTGGCTGGCACATGGAGTTAATGGTGATGGCAGCTGAATCTGAAATTGAAAGTTGAGACTGAATTACCATGAATCCACAACCTTGAATACCATGCTGAGGAGTTGGAACTTCATTCTGTAGAAATGATAAATCATCCAAAGTTTTGGAGCAAAGAGATAGCATCAATGAGTCTCTGTTTTTGAAAGATAACTCACACTGCAGCATGAAAAACGGAAGGCAAAGGAGAGCTATACTATGCATACCAAGAGTAGTTTGCACTTGTGCCACAATCCCACATTTCACTTTAATTGCCCACCTCCCTTGTTTTTGGTGAAGCAAAGTAAAATCGCTCTTGGAACAATTATATGAATCAGTAACCTTGGTCCCCTTTTCTTCTTCCTTTCATACCATCTATGACCTCATTGTGATCTTGACTCTAGACACATGAGCAGAAACTTCCAGATCTGTTTTTTCCATTTTGTCTGTTGTATCTCCCGCATACAGGTATGGGTTGGCTACATCAAAACCACCTGGGACATTTTCTAAAAATACAGACTCTTGGGCCCCACCTTCAGTCTTCTGAATCTGGAGCACCAAGAGCAGGGCCTGAGAATCCGCATTTAACAAAGCTCCTTGGGTGATTCTGATGTACAACCACCTGCCACAGGCACTTCTAATTCAGCATGACAAAACTACACTTATCTTTCCCAAACAATACTTATCACAGTTAAGTGACACTGCTATTCCTAGCCACCAAACCACCAATCTGAATCTATCCTTTCTTCTGCCTTCTTCATCTGGTCCCTTCCTCAAATTACGTTCAAACAATTGCCAGGTCCTTGTTGAGTTTCCTTCCAAAACAGTTCCCAATTCACACCCTCTTCTACATTTCTGTTTTTGCTCCCTTAGTTTGGGCTCTTATTTATCTTGGGGCTGTTTTTCCAGTTTTTGTCCCCTTTCAGTTAATTATCCAGACTGGGGCAGTCAAGATCTTCCTCACACCCAAATGTGATTGTATCACAATGCTACTTAATCATTTCAGCAGTTTCCTATCCATTACAAGGAAGTCCACATGTCTTACCTTGCACACAGAGTCTGGATAGTCTAGCCAAGACCTGCCAGTCGAGCTGTATCAGCACCACTATCTTACATCTTCCTGTGGGTAAAGCATCACCTACATTTCTTTTTTTAAAAAATTGATGCATGTTATTTATTGGATATGTGGTTTGCAAATATTTTAGAGATGTGGGGTAAAATTCAGGGTTAGGTACCTAAGGGGTCATCATGCAGGTAAAGTTTGGGTACCTTTATTGATGTTATGTGCCTTCCCTCCCTCCCCTGGCAGTGTCCCACTACTGCCAATCCCTTTCTTATAGTATTATGATAAATGTTCAGGGTCTACTTATGAGTGAGAATATGTAGTACTCAGATCTTTGTTTCTGTGATAGATCACTGAGTATTATAGACTCTAAATCCATCCAAGTTGCTGCAAAGTCCATAATTTTGTTTTTATTTATGGCTGCATAATATTCCATCATGTATATGTACCACATTTTCTTCATCCAGTCCACTTTCGATAGGCAGCACAGTTTGTTTCATGTTTTTGCTATTGTGAATAATGCTGCAGTACACATGTATGTGCAGATACCTTTTTCATAGAGTGATTTGAGTTTCTTCAAGTATACGCCCAGAAGGGGGATTGCTGGGTCATACAGAAAGTCGATTTTTAGACCTTTTATAAACCACCACACTGTTTTCCCCAGAGGCTATACTAGTTTGCACTCCCATCAACAGTGTAGAAACGTTCCTTTTTTTCTGCATCCTTCCCAGCATCTGCTGTTTCTTGTTTCTTGAGTTATTGATGATGGCCATCCTGACTGGAGTTAGGTGGTATCTCAGTGTGCTTTTAATTTGCATTTCTTTGAGGATTAGTGAGGCTGAGCATTTTTTCATGTATCTGTCTTCTTCTGAGAAGTGTCTATTCATATCTTTTGCCCACTTTTTAATAGGGTTGTTCATTTTTTTCCTTTCGGCCCATTTGAGTTCCTTGTAGACACTGAGTGTTAGGCCTTTGTCAGATATACAGTTGGCAAGTAATTTTTCTTATTCTGTGGGCTGTCTCCCTGCTCTCTTGATGGTTTCTTTTGCTCTGCATGTGTTTTTCAGTTTGTTGAGTTCTCACGTGTGTAACTTATCTTTTATGGCATTCACTTTTGGAGAATTGATCAGGAATTGGTTGCCTATTGCAATTTCTGTAAGAACGTTTCCTATGTTTTCTTCTAGGATTCTTATAGTTTGAGGTTTTATATTTAGATCTTTGATCCATTTAGAGTTGATTTTTGTGGGTGATGATAGGTAGGGGTCCTGGTTCAGTTTCTGCATGTGATCAGCCAGTTTCCCCAGCACCATTTACTGAATAGATTCTCCTCTCCTCAGTGGTTGTTATTGGAGACATTGTCAAAGATGAGTTGGTTGAAAAATTGAGGTTTTGCTTCCAGAATCTATATCCTGTTCCATTGGTCTATATGCCTATTCTTGTACCAATACCAGGCTATTTTGATTATTGTAGCTTTATAGTAGAGCTTGGAGTCTGGAAGTGTGATATCACCCACTTTGTTTCTTTTGCTGAGGATTGTTTTGGCTATTCGTGGTCGGGTTTTTTTTTTTCATATGAATTTCTGTATTGTCTTTTCCAGGTCTTAGAAGAATGATGTTGGTAATTTAACAAGTATTGCATTAAATCTGTAGATTGCCTTTGGTAGGATGGACATCTTAATAATGTTAATTCTTCCAACCCATTAGCATGGAACATTTTTACATTTGTTTGTGTGTTCTTTCATTTCTTTGAGCAGTATTTTGTAGTTTTCATTGTAGAGGTCTTTCACTTCTCCAATTAGGAAGATGCCAAGGTATTTCTTTTTTTGTGTGGCTACCATGAATGGAATTATGCTTTTTATTTGGTTCTCTGTTTGTTTATTGTTGGTATATAAGAATTTGACAGTCTTCTGCACATTTCTTTTATACCCTGAGACATTGCCAAAGTCCTTTATCAGTGCCAGGAGGTTTTTGACAGAGTCTCTTGGATTTTTGAGGTATAGGATCATATCACCTCAAAGAGGGATAATTTAACTTCCTCTTTTCCTATTCGGATATACTAGATTTCCTTCTCTTGTCTGATTGCTCTGGCTAGGACTTCCAACACTATGTTGAACAGGAGGAGTGAGAGTGGGCAGTCTTGTCTTGTTCTGGTTTTCAGGAGAAATGGTTCTAATTTATGTCCATTTAGCAGTATGTTGACTGTGGGTTTATCATAGATGGCTCTTACTATTTTGAGGTATGTTTCATCTATGCCTAGGTGTTCAAAGATTTTTATTAAGAAGGGATGCAGGGTTTTATTGAAAGCTTTTTCTGCATCTATTTATATAAGTATGTAGTTCGTGTTGTTATGTTCTTGTGGATGCTGAACCAGCCCTGCATCCCAGGGGTGAAGTCTACTTGGCCATAGTGGAGATAATTTTTGAGATGTGTTGTTGGATCCAATTTGCTAGAATCTTGTTGAGTATTTTTGCATCTATGTTCATCAGGGACATTGGCTGTAGTTCTCTTTGTTGGATTTTTACCTGATTTGGGTATCAATGTGATGTCAGCTTCATCAAATGATTTGGGGAGAATTTCGTCTTTCTTGATTGTATGAAATACTTTCAATAGGATCGGTACCAGCTCTTTATTGTATATTCTGTAGAATTCTGCTGGAAAACAATCAAGTCCAGGGCTATTTATTATAGGTAGTTTTCTTATAAAAATTTCCTGGGTTGTTATTTGTCTATTTAGGGTCTCAATTTCTTCTTGATTCAACCTT